ATATATATATATATATATATATATATATATATATATATATATATATATATATATATATATAAAAGTTTGTAATAAGAATTGGTAAGAGAAATGATAAATATGAAAAAGGTTGGAAGCACTTTGCTTTTAAAATGTATGATGAGAGTGTGGGGGCAACTTTCGCTTTATTCACTTTATTTGAATTTCTGCTGGGGTTGTCTGTCTATTCAAAGCAGCAGTAACCAAAACCGCACTGCCTGGTTCTATTTAATTTTATTTTTATCAAAAATAAATTCACAATTCCCTAGGGGCCCACCCTATTTTAACAGACTCCTATTTCTCAAAAATCCATACTCAGCCACCAATCACAAAAACAATTTTTTTATACTCCAACGATAATTAATCATCTTAAAAAAGAATGATTATTCGTAATTTCCTTTTCATGATGATAGACATTGTATGTAATTAGCAATTGTTATACAAAAAGGAAAAAAAAATACTTTGTTGGATATAAGAAAAAGTAACTAACTTGATTTCCAAAATAAAAACTTCTTTTGATGCAATCAAAACTATTTCAAAACTCTTCAATAATTAAGGTATAGAAATTTCCCTTTACATTACATCATATTTTTATTGATGTGAAATTACTAAACTAACCTTTATATGTATATATGTATAATGTATGTACGTATTGTTGTAGTGGGGAAAAAGAAAAGGTACTTGATAGTCTTAACCGTAAACCGAAGACAGAAAAAGCGAGCAATTGATCAATGAGAATTTATAAAAGCCAAAACAAAAAGTGATTGCATGGGAGCTTTTGCTGATGACAGAGCAAGTACTAGTGCTTTAATGAATACAATGTGCATCAACAGTTGTACCCATAACAACATTTTTCCAATATCTTGAGTGTACAAAAGTTATCTAACCAAGAAAATAAATATTAAAAGGTAAAGAAACTGATCATATTAACTACATGTATATATATAAAGGTGGTGTATCATACATGCTACTACTATACCCTATTCTTCTTCTTCTCCTTCTTCTTCTCTAGCTCAATAACAAACCCTAATTCAAACTGTGTTTCTTGAAGAACAAAAGGTTGTGGATTAGAGAAACTAGGGTTTCCTTCTTCATCATCTAGAGAACCCTAATTCTACCATTTGTGTTGGTGGGGTTTACAGAGATAGAGTAACTAGGGTTTCGTTTGTTGAAGAAAGATAACACCATAGCTAGGGTTTCATCTTTAGAGGGGTGTGGGGGGTGGGTGTTGGAGCCAAGTGATGCGCTCAGGAGGTTGTACGGTACAACAGACACTAACAACAGAGGCTGCTTCTGTGTTGAAGCACTCTCTCAGCCTTGCAAGGAGGAGAGGCCATGCTCAGGTCACTCCCCTTCATGTCGCTGCGACTCTTCTTATGAGCTCAAGAGCTAGTATTCTAAGAAGAGCTTGCCTCAAATCACAAAACACTTCTTCCACTTCCCATAATACCCCTACTATTCTCCACAATCCCCATATTACCCCTACCACACCACCCCTCCATTGTAGGGCGCTTGAGCTTTGCTTCAATGTGGCTCTCAACAGGCTGCCGACAACTCCTGGGCCACTCCTCCATGGCCAACCTTCACTCTCTAACGCTCTCATTGCTGCACTCAAGAGAGCTCAAGCTCATCAGAGAAGGGGTTGTATTGAAAACCAACAAACTCAAACACAACAACAGTGTCAGCAACAACAACAGCCGCCATTGTTAGCCATTAAAGTGGAGCTTGAGCAGCTCATTCTGTCGATTCTTGATGACCCGAGTGTTAGTAGGGTTATGAGAGAAGCGGGTTTCTCAAGTACTGCTGTGAAAAGCAATTTGGAAGATTTTTCTTCAAACTCTTTAACTTCTGCACCACGAGTGTTCTTTAGCAGCTCCGGTGGTGGCGTTTACTCATCTCCTTCATCGCCAAACTCTGATCACCAGTACCACCCTCATCATCAAAACCCTAACTTTTGGCAAACCCATTTCTTGAATCACACTCCTGACCAAAACCCACTTTTCATTTCACCTTCAAAGAACACCCCATCTCCAGAATCCGATCATTCTTTGAAGAAAGATGTAAGCTTGGTTATGGAGGTTTTGCTAGGGAAGAAGCAAAGAAAAAACACAGTTATTGTTGGAGATTCTTTATCGATAACTGAAGGCGTAGTCATCGAGCTAATGGGAAAAGTAGATAAAGGCGATGTCCCGGATGAATTACGATGTGCTCATTTCATAAAGTTTCAGTTCTCATCAGTGCCATTGAGGTTCATGAAAAGGGAGGAAGTGGAGATGAATTTATCAGATTTAAGAAGAAAAGTTGAATCATTGTCGTCATCAGGAGGAGGAGTCATCATATACGCAGGTGACTTGAAATGGACAGTGGATGAGAGAGAGGTCGGAGTAACTGGTTATAGTCCAGTGGATCATCTTGTTGTTGAAATTGGGAGATTGGTTTCACAATATAATGTCACAAACAAAGTTTGGTTAATTGGAACTGCAAATTATCAGACATTCATGAAGTGCAAGAAGAAACAGCCTTCTCTCGAGCTTCAATGGAGTCTTCAAGCTGTTTCTGTTCCTTCTGGTGGACTTGGATTGAGTCTCAATGCTACTACGACGAGGTAATTTAGGTTATTGTACAAGTTCTATTCCATAAAGTACAATATTTTCGTTTACTTAATCGGTTATCATATGAAAGCAACAAAGTTGGTTATGCATTTAAGTGAAGTTTTAGAAATAAAATTGGCTTTTTTGAGTTCGTAGATAAAAACATTCTTGTGTCTGAACACAAAGGCATGAGAGCATGCTGACCCTGGAAAAAGTAACGTTGGAAGAGGAGACAGTGTTGTTGATTTTCATTTTTTTTCTTTTTATTTGTTGCCTTTTAGTTTTGTCCTTATGCTCAAAATTGGGACATATTTTCTGATTGAACAGAAAAGAAGGACAATGACCAATTTTCTCATTTTAAAAAATAAAAATGAAATTTATTTCCTTTATCTTAGTTTCTATTAAACTTTGCGAAAAAAAAAATACATTTTTAGTAATCAATAATCAAGAAATGATTTTATTTATATCATATTCTTTCTATGTATAAAAAAGCTACTACCCATATTTTGCATTAGTAGTATTAATTATAACGGGGTTTCTAGAATAATATTTGTTTATATATTAATATGGTTATTGATGGTTTTGTAGTGGGCATGACTCAAGGGTAAACATGTCAAATAACACAAGTGATGAAATGGTGGATATGAAGCCATTGAAACACAACAAAGAGGAGGGAGACGATGATATGGTGGCGATGAGTTGTTGTGGGGAATGCAATTCCAATTATGAAAAGGAAGCTGCTGCCGCCGCCACCACAGCTGCCGGAAATAAGCCCTCCACCGTCTTACCATTTTGGCTTCACCCTTCAACATCTCCATCAAGCCTTCACAAGGTATGGTTATTGCTACTATTATAATATGAAAATACTATAATACCCTTATGATAACTCGTTGTTAATTAGTAGCTCACAAGATTTTTTGTGTCGGATTTTCAGGAAAACTTAATTGAGCTTAGGAGGAAGTGGAACAGACTATGCCAAAGTCTACATCAAGGAAAGCAAAATCTGAATAACAATTGCATGAATTCATCATCGTTAATCACCAACGATAATCAAGGATTGATTGGAAAAAGCTGCTCCTGCAACTCCTCACGCTATCCATTTTGGTCTAACAACACTAATCATGTCAAAAACATCTCATCGATCTCCTTTGGTGACACTTTAAAGAGTCAAAATGGTGGTGGAGAGCGTTCTTATCCTCGATTCAGAAGACAGCAATCTTGTCACATTGATCTCAGTTTCAGCAGCCGAAATCATTCCAATGTTGATCAAGAACCAAACTTGGATTGTCTCAAGAGTAGAGAAGACGATAAAGAAGTCAAAATCACACTTGGTCTTGGAAATTCGGCTTCAGATTTGTCCAAAAGACAAGATGTTTACAAGTGTTTACAAGAGAATGTGCCTTGGCATTCGGAGAAAATGCACTCGATTGTTGAGTTTTTGATGAGTTCTTCATCTTCTAAAGGTGTAAAGAAAGATTCTTGGTTCTTGATGGAGGGTAATGACTCTATAGGGAAAAGAAGATTGGCAATGGCCATTACGGAGGCCATGTTTGGCTCTAGTGATTTGCTTTTGTGTTTTAACATGAGGGGTTCGGTTAACAAATGTGAAAATCTTGAAAGGGCATTGAAAGGTCAAGAAAATGCTGTTGTTTTGGTGGAAGATGCTGATTTTGGAGATGGGAAGTTTTTAAAATCTTTAAGTGATGGATTTGAGAAGGGGAAATTTGGCGAAAATGGTCAAGTTATCTTCATTTTAAGTAAGGGCGATCATCTTGGTGATGATAAAAGAAGCCGATCTTCATTAGCCCGGATTAAATTGGTTGTGAACGAGACGAATCCAACTACCGAAATTGATCAAAAACGAAAACCCAAATGGGATTCGGATGAATTTAGCAAGAGGAAAGTTCCAAGAATCGAAGAAGAAGAAATCAAGAAAGACTTGTCTAGGCAATCAAGCTCAAATACTCTTGATCTCAATATTAAGGCTGAGGCACAAGATGATGACAACGAAAACACATTAGATTTCAGCCCTAATTCGAGCGATTTGACCCGCGAAATGGATGGTAGTCCAAGGAACCCACTCGGGTTTCTTGAAACGGTTAAAACCCACTTTGTATTTGATCGATCTTCGGCTCGAGATAGCTTAATGAGAGAGAGCTTCTTGTTTAAGTTGAGAGCCATATTAGCGATAGTGTTTGGGAGCATAGAATTTGAGTTGAAAGTGGAAGACATGGTGTTAGATGAGATATTGTTTGGGTGTGGGTTATACTTGAATGGCTTGTTTGAGAAATGGCTTAAAGAAGTTTTTCAAACGAGCTTGGATATGGTTAAAAAAGGGGGGAAAGGAGTAAAAAGTTTAAGGGTTTCTTTGGTGATAGATGAAAAAGAAGGGGGTGGGGTTGGTATAGAAGAAAAGGACGAGGGGTTCATGGGTTCGAATCTCCCTAACAAAATCAAAATATGTTTTGTTATGTAGGTTTATTTTACCATTGTAAAAATATGAAAATTTCTATAAATCAAATGTTCTTGTTTATGTAGACTTTTGTTGTTTATATGACTATGCAAATAAATCAAAATATCCAATATGAAAATATGTTGGATTACTAAGTTACTGAACCCTTGACTCCTAAAAAAAATAAAAAAATAAAAAAATAAATAAAAATAAAAAAACCTTGATATCTTAAAGCTTTTTATATAGATATTATTGATCATCCAAATCAGTTTAATAAAATTTAAAAATATTTAACTTTAGCTACTGATAATTTGAATTTCTTATTTAAGTCATTATCTATCTTTTTTTGTAACGGAATTCCTTTGTATGTTGCAAGTTTGTAGCAGAAATGATAACAAATAACAAAAGTTTTTTCTATAATATGTGCACATATTATAAATAGTTAGATGAAAATAGCAATGTACTTAGACTATATATAGACTCCTTTGTATGTTGTAAGTTTGTAACAGAACTGATAACAAACGTTTTTTCTTCCCTTTACTTTCTCTCTCTCTAACTATCTTAAAATGGTATCAGAGCAACATGGTTGATTGTTCAATCCTAATTCTTTCTTGAATCATAATCATGAATACGATTCCAATCATTGATCAAAATAATAATTCATCATCAAAGCCAACGATTAATTCCTCTTCTATTGTGAAAGGAAATGATCATCACACGTTTTTGGTATCAAATTTGCTTAATGGCAATGAGAATTACATGCGTTGGAAATTTTCAATCCAATTGGCGTATGGAGCAAAGAAGAAGAAAAGATTCATCGACGGCACATTGAAGATACCTGAATTGTTGGAGCTTTCATATTTGCTTCTACTGCAAGAGAATTATGGCTGGAGCTTAAAGAACACTTTGGTGAAAGCAACGGACCTCTCATATATCAACTCCAAATACAAATAGCTTAGATTAGTTAAGGTGATTCGTCTCTTTCCAAGTATTACACAAAATTGAAACAACTCTAGGATCAATTAAACTTTATTGTTCAATTACCTTCATGTACATTTGGATCAGCTAAGGCGATTTCAGATTTTAACTCTTCTACAAGATTAATGTAGTTTCTAACAGGTTTGAATGATTCATATGATGGCTTATGTAATCAAATCCTTGTTTTAGATCCTTTACTTATTGTTTACAAGGCCTATTCTATGGCATTAAGTGTTGAAAAATAGAGAGAGATTCAAATGAATGATTCATATGATGGCTTATGTAATCAAATCCTTGTTTTAGATCCTTTACTTATTGTTTACAAGGCCTATTCTATGGCATTAAGTGTTGAAAAATAGAGAGATTCAAATGAATTTTACCAATTCAACTGATGTATCTATTATGTTGGTAAGATCAACAAGTTACAACAATAATACTAAGAAATCCTTCCAGTTCAAATCAAGAAATGATTCCAAAAAGAAAAATAATAATGATCATTAATATGATCATTGCAAAGTTAATGGTCATTCAAAGGATGCTTGCTTCAAGATCCATGGCTATCCAGATTGGTACAAGAAACTAAAAGAAAAGAGAAAGTCAAATATGAATTCTGCATATATGGCTAACACATCATGTGCACATCAAAGTGAAAGCTCAATTCATGAGAATTTAGAATGAAGGGACATAAATGAAGAATCGATAGAAGATTTACTCCAACAGTTTACTCAGTTCATGAAATCAAATTAGAAGGTTGATGGTTATTTTGCAAACATGACAAACTTTGGTGACTTTGTAGGTATGAACATTTCACTTCTGAATTCCACGAGAACTGATAATTTAAAAAAAAAAAAGTACTTGGATTGTTGACAGTAGAGCTACTGCTCACATGTGTTCAAATATTTCTTCCATAAACAATCTTTGTCCCGTTTCCAAATATACCCCTATCTTTTTGCCTGACAGTTCAATCAAAGTTGTAACTCGCACTGGTTCTATTGTTCTAAATCCAAGATTAATTCTTAAGAATGTGTTACATGTTCCTAAATTCACATGTAATCTTCTTTCTGTCAAGTGTCTTGCTAAGTCTTCAAAGATTTCTTTCTAATTCTACTCAACACATTGTGTTACAGGACCTTAAGACTAAGAAACTTCTTGCTTATGGAAGGATCATTGGAAATCTCTATATTCTTGATAATCAGAGTCTTTTTTCTGTTTCATCTGTTTCGCATCGTTATCCTTGTAATCTTAGTAAATCTACACATTCGTGTAATGTCGTTTAGAAATATAATAAATATTATTTCTCTATGTGGCATAATAGACTAGGTCAATGTTGTGAGTCTACTTTTCTTCGTCTACAACTTTTTCCTCACAAAGTTGACAATTTGCCATGTATTCCATGTCATGAAGTTAAAAAAAAGGTTATCATTCCCTAATAACAATTCTTCTACTTAAAATATATTTGATCTTATTCATGTAGATTTATGGGGGCCATATAGATCAAAGACTATTATAGGATCATCTTATTTCTTGACAATTCTAGAAGATTTTTCAAGATCCACATGGACTTATCTTTTAAGAGATACAACACAAGTCTATTCAACTTTGTCAAATTTTCTGACATACGTTTCTACTCAGTTTCAAACATATGTTAAAGAGATCAGAACTGACAATGGAACTGAATTTGTCAACCTTAATTGCCAAAATTTGTTTTCTTCTTTGGGTACTATTCACCATAAAACTGTTTCTTATTCACCCCAACAAAATGGAAGGGTTGAGAGAAAACATCAACACCTTCTACAAGTTGCTCGTGCTCTTATGAGTTAGTCAAACTTACAAATTTCATTACAGGGATATGCCATTTTAATGGCTACACACATCATCAATATTCTTCCTACCCTTGTTCTAAACTAGGAAACACCTTATTCAAAACTTTATAAAAAGTCTCGTTCATATTAAAATCTAAAAGTGTTTGGTTGCTTATGCTTTGCCACAAATACTATAACATATAAGAGAAAGTTTGAATCTAGAGCAATAATGTGTTGCTTTCTAGGATATAATGTGGGACAAGAAGCGTACAAGCTGCATGATCTCAAAGAAAGAAAAGTATTCATGTCCATAGACGTTATCTTCTATGAATCAATTTTTCCATACAAAGGGACAGTTGATGGAAATGTTAATGATAAGATTGTTCTTCCAAGAATTATACTTGAAGAATACTTGTTCGAGGTTACTGATGAATAATTCTTTCCTTCATAAGATTAGATTTCTGATGATGTTGATCTCATAAATGAAAATGAAGAATTTTATAACTCAAATCAAGATGATCAAAATGACGAAGATGTTTATTATGATGGGTTTTGAGCATTCTAACACTCCTAAGTGTACATGCAACCCTAAATACCTTGGATCTATG